GAGAGTGAACCATCAGACAGAAGATCTTTGTCTCTCCTCTCTGTATATCTGACTTTGCAATAAAAATAAATCAATCTTTTTTTAAAAAGTAAAAAAATTCAAATAAGTGGCTTTTTGATCTGAATCTTTCCCATGCCCATCTTTGCATCGCTACATTTCCAGTGTCCGCATCCCACATAACTGTCCACTCTGTTCCTGCGAGTGTTGTCTGAAACTCTTTTCCCTGAACATTGGAGAATTACCCAAGAGGAGGAAGAAGTGAGTTGGTGGCTTGGGAGGGCTGGTGCAGTCCCAGGCCCTTTCAACACCACGGAAGTGGTGTGGCCCAGCAGGGCCTCCCTGGAGAAGGGGCCCACCCGGGAGGGCAGACTCGTTCTCCATCAGCTTTAAAAAGCGCCCTGTGGAATAGAAAGAAAGAAAAGCATCCACCCAGCTTAACCTGAGCCTTGTAACAGAGAGGGGAGTGTGTGGGGAGAACAAGAGGGAGATCCAATTAATTACTCTTAGAAGCAAAGGTAAAAGTTGAAGATTAAGAGACCCATTTACAGGAGGAAATAGACCCATCATTGAGCCTAGAGAAAGGGAGGATTGTTTGGGGCCAGAAAAGCGTCTCAATGTTCAGATTCCATTCCTTTTCTGGAGCGTTGGAGAGAGGAAGGGCATAACTTGGGCTGGGAAGTGGGTTGAGGTTGGGAGCTGGGTGGGGGGAGCTGTTGTCTTGGGTCCAATTCTAGCCCCCCACCCTGAGGGACACACAGACGCATCCAGCTCCTGTGGGAACTGGTGTGTGCTGGCCAAGGAAGGGGTGCCCCCTGTGAGAGAGCCCTGTCTATTACCATCACAAGGGCTGATGTCACAGACCCCACAAAGCAGCTGAGGCCCCAAATGCAGGGTAACCCTAGCCCCCTCAGCGATGGAAACAGATAGAGGGGCAGCTCTCCCACACAATGGCCAGCCCTCACTTCTCTCCTGCTCCTGCTCCGTGCACTTCCTCAACGGCCTTTGTCTTGTGGTCCCCTGGGCTGGAGGCTCTCTCATTCCCTGCAAATGCTGCCCATTAAATTCAAAAGAGGCCTCTGGGGGACTGGGTCTGGCTCCCTCCCTTTCTCCCTCCTCTTATCTCCCAGGGCTCTTCCCCACCCTCAGCTGCCCTGGGAGCAGATAAGCAGCCCAGCTGTGAGAACAGGGACAAGCTGGGGGCTGCTTCCCATCCTCCTTCTGTCCCCCTCACCCTACTCCCAAGAACACTCCACAAGGGCTGCTGGTCCCTCTCTGGATGGAGGAAGTAGTTTCAGGCCAGGCAGGAGAATCTGACCATCAGGGAATGTGGGGAATGTTCTGGGTGGGCTAGATCCACTTTAGCTGACGTGGCCCAAGCCTCTGCATTGAGCCTTTGCGTTCTTTCCCCAGCTTCTGGAGGTTTCCATATTCTCAACTCAGAGTCCTCCTGTTCCCCTCGCAGCATCCCAACCTGGGGTGGGGAAGGCTGGGAGCACAGGCTCCGGTGGCCTTTGGCTTGTAACCCTGGGCTCAGGTGGGGGTGCCTGGACAAGGCCGATCGACAGGTCTTGAACTACTGCCACAGCTCTGTAGAAACAGGGAGAAGAGGGATCTGCTCAGAGCTTCCTGCTTCCCCTCATGGGAACAGCTACATTCCCAAAGGGATTCTATTATTACACGGTGTTCTAACCATAAATCGGTTTTTAAGCAGAGGCTATTATGTATCAGGTTTAGGTTTGAGTCAAGCTTAGGAGACCTGTGACTTAGCTATTTAACAGAATAGTATGAACTACTGTTGGTTTTTTTGGGTTTTTTTTTTTTTTTTTTAGATTTTAATTTATTTTTATTGGAAAGTCAGATATAGAGAGGAGCAGAGACAGAGAGGAAGATCTTCTGTCCGATGGTTCACTCTCCAAGTAGCCGCAATGGCCGCGGCTGCCCTAATCCGAAATCCAGAGCCTCCTCTGCATCCACCATGCGGGTGCAGGGTCCCAAGGCTTTGGCCTGTCCTCGACTGCTTTTTCCAGGCCAAAAGTAGGGAGCTGAATGGGAAGCAGGGCCGCTGGGATTAGAACTGGCATCCATATGGGATCCTAGCAAGTTCAAGGCAAGGTCTTTAGTCACTAGGTTACTGTGCTGGGCCCCTTAAATCTTTCTAAAACCTCGATGATAGCCATGAACCTTCTTTCCAGAAAGAAAGTAGATGGATTCAAGCCTGTGTACCTGTTTGTCTCTGTCTATTGGACCTCTGGTTAAGAACTGGAAGTAGCCATAAGCTTTGAATCCAGTGAAAGTCAGAAGAAATTCCAGGTGGTGCGGGGAGGCAGATTCTATCGCAAGAATTGGGTCTTTGAGCTGGGCGGCCAGCTGGCTAATTTGAAGGGTTGTCGGTTTTTCCTTCTCCAACAGGTGCTTGAGGAACACTGCTGCCAACAAGCCTGCACTGGATTTGGGGACAGGAGGTCAGGGGGCAGAGCAGCTCCAGACACTTTTATTCCATGCCTCATTAGGACATGTGTAGTGGAAAGTGAGGCCAGGGAGAGAGGGACAGAGAGGGACCTTGAATGGTGTGTGAGCTGCGGTCCTACTGGTAGGAGCAAAGCCCCAATGCCCATCGTCACGCTAGTAATGGTGAGAGTGTGGCATTTTCTTGGTTTCTGTGCTGGCCAGAGAGGGGCAAGCAGCTGGGTGCTGCCACACGCTGACAGTTCTGGTCTTGCTGAGCATGGTTCCTCCATATGTGTCCCTCAGGTCCTTCACTATCCCGCCAGCATGCACCTGGTTCGAGCCAACTTTGCCCTCTGATGCAGCATGCACCTCAGCTACTGCTTTGGCACCACAGTCTAAACGGAGCTCCTTCAAGGACCAGACCTTTCCTACATAGGCTGCCTGTAACTCCCAGACTGGGCTCTCACACAGGCTCCCTCTCTACATCTCCCCTAGATGATCCCACCACACTTCCCCTGGACTGGGAGCCTGCCCTCACAGTGGGGCTGGTGTTCAAAACACACTGAGCCCTAAGTCACCGAGCCCAGACCTATACCTAGAGCAGGCAATCGCTCCTCTTGATGCTGCCCCCTTAGAGCTAGTTGCATAGACAAGAAAATCTAACCCCAATGTCAGGGGCATGTCCAAGGCCACAACCTAGCTCCATGTTCTTTGTAATAAGCAGCAACCCCCAATCCCCATCCCTGGATCTTCCCTGCTCGAGTTGAGCGCCACCCAGCTCTCCAACCCCAGCTGTGCTGTGCGAAAAGGCACGGAAGAACAAAAGACCAGTGAGACAACACCATGGCTTTTGAACAGGTATGTAGGCGCTCTTGTTTAATAGCAGGTAAAAGAAGAAAATGTACAAGAGGAATAGACATGCTCTTCCCATGGAGGAACTGTCCCCTACCCAAGCGGCCCGCCTGCGTCAGCAGCTTTCCTCGTGAGCTGTAGGGAAAAACGTTCCCTTTCAAAATGGACTTCACTAAACTTTCCCGATCCATGTATGACTATGTGTGCAAAATAAAAAGGCCACTTCCAACACAATAGTGAAAAGTAATTGTGAATGCAGGCACCAAAAAAAAAAAAAAATGTGTGTGTGTGTGTTGCAATGGAAGGAGTCTTAAGTGCTGGAAGAAGGGAGCGTAAGGGTATGGCCTCCTGCAGGCCTGGAGCTTGCGGCCTGAGGGGGAAGGTCATGGTCAATACCAAGCTTGCAGGATAAAGGGTCACCTGTCACTGTGCAATGAGGCCGAGAGACCACAAACCTTGGTATGCAATGAAAACACAGCATGCATACCCTGTAAAATGGACAATCCTTTTGCCAGCAGGACTTCTCAGCTGGTTCTAATTTCCAGGTCCTATTTCTCCCACCTGCAATAGCTTCACATACAGCCTGGTTCTCCCATCATCATTACAGCTATGCAGACATGTAGGGTCACAAATCAACTAGTCTGTCCCTCTAGATCATGGACTTGGCTTCTCCAAGATCTTGACTGAAAGTTCACAGTGACCAGAGGGCAGATGGGGCATACGAGTCTGCATTTGCCCTTTTGCCGAGGCCCTCCAAGGCATGTTAACATCTGTAGGCACATGTGGCCAGAGCTGAGGAGCAGGGGGGCTGTCAGGCACACATGTTTTGTACAGGTCCTCTCCAGGGATGGTCCAACTCTATGTCCACAGACAGAGTGAAAATCAGATCAAATAATCATCCCACTTCACCACTTTAAGTAGCTGTGATGTTGCTGCTCCTGGTTTTGCCCTTCCCGGACCCACTCAGAGTCCATCTCCATGTCCAACTCGGGAGCGGTGCATTGCCTCTTGTTAAGGAGGAGTGGAAACAGGCTGAGAGGGGAGAGGAGACACATCCAGGGCCGGCCATGTGAGATGTGAGCTGGGGCAGAGTCACTCCTCAGGCTCCACCCTCTTCACCTTTTTCTCGGCTTGCAGTCAGACCAGTAATGGCGATCCCTTCAAAATGAAAGCACTGCTACCTGTTCCAGTTGCTCTCCATTGCACTTCAAGTCCCAGAACTCCGCGAAGCAGAGATCCTGCTGCAAACTGAGTTTGAAGAATGAGAAATGAGGGTGCCCGGGCCCATCTCCAGGACCAGGTCTTCACGTTCCCATCCTCTGGCTCATTCTGCTCAGCAAAGCCCAGTGTTTGCTGTCCTGGGTTTCCTTTCTATGGGCTTCTACTCTCCCTCAGTTTGTTAAGTTCTGGGAAACAGTGTTATCCTTGACCTTCATCCTAAAACCCTGGTCAAATGCCAGACCTACAGGGGGAGCCTCCGCAAGTGCCTGTTCTCCATCTTGGAGGAAGGCTCCATCAACGTGTGCATGACCTCTTCCCCAGGGTTTCTAAACTGTGAGATGATGTGGTGAGGGTGAGGGGTGAGCAATGAAAAAGGAAACACGGCCCTCTCTAGGAGCAACTCAGTAGCTGAGAAAAGCGGAGAAAGCTGTGCGGTGAGTATCTCCTTCTGACAATCCGACCTAGAAATGCCTGTGTGGCTTATTTGTCATTGTTTGGTGATGCACAATTATACTCTTGCCAACAGCCATTGGTAGCATCGTTCTGGAGTGTCGTAAAGTGCAGGTTCTGCTGATTGGCCTCAATGCAAAATTCTTACTTATATTAAGTCTTAGAACAATGTTTGGAACGATGGACACAGCTCCTAAGCTAAGCTGGTTCAGGCCCCAGTTTCTAGGGGACGTATTTAAAGGCAATCCTTCTCAGGAGAGGCCAAGAGATGGTCAGGAGGGTCTCAAAAGAGGACAAAAGCCTTGGGCTTGAGCAAGATGAACTTCCTACGTAACATATAACTTAGTGGGGTCAGCTGCATTAGAGGCAAAAAGTCAGGAGCCATGGTTTGGCCTGTTACTTCATGGTGACAGTGGCTCTGGCCCTACAAGTATCTAGTCTGACCATGGCTATCACCACAGTGCATAGCTGATGACAGATTTTTGAAAGACAGTGACCAGAAAACTGGTTTTAAAGCACAGAGGAACAATCTCAAGTAATCCTCAGGTTTCATCTGAGGATGAAAGTGAGGATAAAGGAGGAGTATTTTCAGGTCCCTGAGAGCTGACCCTGCTCAGTGGCACTTCTCTCAGTGGCTGCAGGAGGTCAAGTCTGGGGCTCTCAGTGCACACATGCAGGTCCCACTTGCCGAGCTCTGCCCTGGGCCCTGCACTCCGGCTGTGAAAGATGGAGATGAGATGAATGGGAAAGGAGACTGGGGCTCTGATTCCATCAAATTGGCTTTCAAGATAGAGGAAAACTCCCAGGGCTGAGGCCCAGCATTCCAGTGACCATGGAACTCACCCCTGATGCTGGCCCATTCAACTTCACCCAGAAGAATAACAGACTTGAGATAGATCTAGGCTACCAAAACTGCCCTCCCCGGGTGGTAGTGGATCCCTGGGGCTGGTGGAGTGAAGTTGTGTTCTGGCTACAAGCTGTGCTTGCTCCCCGGCCCAGGGAAGTCAACAGACTAGGGAGACGAGCCTCTAGCACAGTGTGCTGGCCTTCAGTGTGTGACGCAGTAATCTGCGAGGCCCGCTGTGGGGTCAGGCAGCAGCAGCTTTATCTGTGTGGTACATGGGGTGCCCTCTTCTTGGCTTACTGACTTTGCCTCTCAGTGTCAAGCACCCAGTTTGTGTAGTTCCTGAGCCCAGATCTAAACATTACGGGTAACAGGCAGTTCAGCACCAGGGATTAATGACCCTGTCCCATCGCCAGAATAATAATACGGAGAGCACAGTAATAACTTCCCCTGAGTCCCGGTCTAGCACACGACTCACGTACTTGCTTGTTCTTGTGCCTCTTACTATAGGGAAAGGTTATGTGAATACTGTACAGGAGTTAATAAAAAAATACATATGCTCTCTTTGAGGAAGAATGCACAAATGCAGGCCAGCCAGGCTGAAGCCCAGACTGTAGGGCTGCAGCAAGCAGCCCGGGCAGGTTCCAGGCGGGCCTTCACGAGTGGTGGCTGCTAATGAGTCCTCGGAGCTGCTTGGCCACGGTGTCAATCAGTTTCTGCTTGTCACGCTCATTTTTCCGAAATTGTGCAAACATGTTGTTCTTGCGACTGGTATCCTTCATCCTAAATAGGGAAAGAGAAGGCAGAGTGTTGGAGGAGGCAGCGTAGGAGAAGGTGCAGGAGGGAGGATGGCAATGATGTATTTTAACCACTACCCAGATAGAACCTGGGGTATTGTGCTGACGGGTTTCTGTGGACCTACTGTTCAGGAAGCAGCTGTCCTTCAGAGTCCCGAGCCCTGCCCAGCCTCTGTCACCCTTGGGAAGTAGGTCCCAAGCCAGCATGGAAGGGCCGACTCCTCAACATGTAGACTCCTAGGCCACGACTGGAGTTTGAGAGAATTCAGACTCCCTGGGGGAGGGCAGGCTGCCTTCACTACCACCCCTGGGAGCTGGGCCAGCACCAAGGCAGGATGGAAGAAGGTAAGAAAGGGACCTGGCCCTAGGGCATAAATTACCCCATACACTCCCCAGGGGCCTCTGGCCAATCCCGGACCTTTGTTTATTCCTGTAGGAGGCCCTTTGCAGAGGGCTAGATTAGAGACCAGGAGTCAAAAGGCCAGCTATCCCACAAGGGCACTTAAATATAGTACACTTGAGAAGAAAATACATATCCCCCAGGGGCACCCTCTGTGGTGAGGCTGACAGTGACAGTTACAAGGGAACAGGGACATTCCTTCCTGCTCTAAGCCCAGGGGCCTTCAGCTGGGTTTACCCAACAGGCAGATTCAGAACATGGAATGTGAGGTACAGCAACCCACACATGGGGCAAGGAGAAGTGAGGGCTTGGCAAGGAAGAAAGCCCCGGGGTAGTCCCAGCCCTGAGGGCTATTACACCTGGCCCCTTTCACACAAGGGAGTTGTGTGTGTGTGTGTGTGTGTGTGTGTGTGTGTGTGTGTGTGTGTGTCTGCCTGGCCTGGTGTTCAAGTATCAGGGAGGACTCCCTTCCTTCTGCTGAAGATTACTCTAAAGCCACAACCCAAATCAGACAAAAAGGAAAAGAAGGGAGGAAAATGAATTCTTCCTATATTCACAGGATGGTAGTTTAACAGCCTTATGTAACCACTGACTCCGTGACTGTCCGAAGCAGCCCATACACACAGCAGAACGGGAAGAAGAGGGCAGTCTCAGGGCCCCAAATGTTTGGGCTTCCTGGCCGTGAAGGCCTGGTGATGGGATTAGGCTGGTTTACACCCAGGGACACTCTAAAACCAGAAGAGTGTCTCTCCCACCTCCCATTCCATTTTATAGGCCAGGGATCCTGATTTACTCCAGCTTTGGCCTCCTCTCAAGGACACAGGGGGACTCATCTTTCTTCCCCCAATGTCTTCAGAAGGTCTTTGGGTCTCTCCATGTTCCTGCAAGGGCCTGGTTGAAAAGGACACATCGTCAAGCTCTTGTGGTACAGCTGGTTGTGGGGAGCAGGACTGGGTCAGGTGAAGGGATTGGTTCCTATGAGGCTGGAAGATGTGGACTTTAGGGATCTGGGGCTGTGAGGGGGCTTTGCTTTACTGTGCTTGGAAGGTGGCTTTTAAACCCTAGGTGATTGCTAGGACTCAGCAGCAAGCTTTTTAACCCAAGGGGCCTCTAGAGTGGCAGAGAGGCTGATTATCTTAGCCTATTTTTGATCCACAGGAATTGGTGGAGCCTGTACCTCCTGGATCCAGAGTCTCATGGACAGAGGAGTGAAGGACTGCTGAGAGTTACTGATCCAGAGTCATTTCGGATATATACCCAGTACACACAATCACTGAAGGACCAATTCAGAGGTCATCTTTTCATCCCATTTCAGCTGGGTTCTGAGAACTCTGGGATCAGACTTTGATTTAACTGAAGAATCTTTCCCGGGAGGCACAGGTTCCAGTTCTTAAAGCTATGGAGTCTTACCACCAGGACCTAGAGGGACCTGGTGAGGAGCCCCCTTCTGTCAGGACTGCATTTCAGGCTCTGCGCTTGCCTGACTTACTGAGTGTAGCAGGAAAGTGAGGAGTAACCTTTCACCTGACACCAATGGGGAAAAATCCCTGCTGCCACTCCCAGCCCCAAAGGAACTGGTGAGCCAAGGGTCACCCTGAGGATCCAGGACAGAGGAGGCGGCCAGCCAGTTGGCCCCAGGCTGGTTTAGTAGATTAGTATTGTCAGGGTGGGGACAACTCACAGGGTAGGCATTTAGTGTAGTCATTAGTGTCAATGAGGAAACCAGCAGGACTTGCCTCAAAATGATGGAAAGAGCCCAAGTGAATATATACTTACTCTCTAGATATCCTAGGGAGGAAGGTCATTGGGAGAGAGAACCATGGGAAACAAAGTTAAAATGGGTACATCAATCCCTGACATGGTCAGGAGAAAACTGTTGAGTGTTCTGTCTCTCAGTTCTAAACACATGCCCCTGCCACAGACTGTTACCTGCCCTCCACTTCTTCCCTCTCTCTTCTCCTGTCGTATTCCACAGAAGGAAACACATAACCTGGCTTATCCTTTGCCCGGCTTCTCGGACCTTTCATACTCTAGGACCTGAGTCACATGTGATTCATCACCTTATACACAGACTTTCTCCTGTGCCTGAGTACACAGCATCCCTGACCTGCTGTTCTGACTGCAAGAGTAAGCTGCCCTTTTGTATAGGTCTTGTTCTCTGGCCTGCCAGCTCTCAACTAGGTTAGCAATTGCCAGGCTGCAGTCTATGGCAGACCCCAGCTTCTGGGTGACATGTGGTTAGTGCTGCAATGTTCTGGAGCTGCCCAACTCAAGGGCAGCACCTCTGCTGTGGAGGGGCCACTGCTCTGCGGTAGGGCAGACTTGGCTGGCTAGTGACTGCCAAGGATAAGATTCAGACATCTTCTTGGGGCAGTTCCCCCAGGAAAGTTTAGGCTGGCAGGGGTGGGAGTTGGAGGCAGCTGAAAATTTCACTAATTCCTGGGGTTTGTCTGCTGGGAATAAGAGAATTCATCTATTCTGTGGGGCTGCTCTATCCATCATCACAGCTCAGATGACTGGGGTCACACTCACTGGTCATCAGACCTGTTGGAGCCCCAAACTACGCCAACTTTCTTTCTTCTCTAGTTATATATGGCTAAAAACACTTTACCCCATTACACTACAAGCAATATCAAAGTCCGGTTCTGTCTGATAGCTGCTTGTTGGGCTCAGGAATTAAGCCACAAGAGTAAGACTGGCCTGCCAAGGCAAATGGCTGAGACCACTGTTAGCAACTAAGGCAAGGATGTCTCTCATGGGAAGATAATCCTTTATACTAACCCTTCCAGCCCCCATTCTTATTCCCCACACTGTACCACAGACCACTGGACTAGATACTCACTTCTCAAGCAGTGTTAGGGCGGTCACTGGGTTTACCCGGAGGTATTTGCAGTTGGGTTGACCATAGTCTGCAAGATAGGTTGACCAATCCCACTGGATGAACAGATCCAGAAGCTGTAAAACATCCAAACCCCACACAGGAATTAATCAGACAGACAGGAGGCGTACCAGAATCCCAGAAACCCCATCATCCTTCACAACCAGCTGATTTGAAAAACAGAAATAAAAGTGTAGTGAAAGAATGGCTACAGATTGTATTGCAGCTAAGAATATAAATCAATCAGTATTAGGAGTCATATCTGCCACAAGTATAGCAACAGCACTAAGATTCTGGCAGAGGCCAAGCCTGAAACGGAACAAATGCTGGACTGAGTCAAAGCACAAGACTATCCTAATAATCACAATAAATATTCTTCAAATGCCTTTCATGTGCCAACCACCATTCTAGAAGTTAACTAGTCAACAGTGAATAAATGTGGACATAGTCCACAGTCACATACATAACTGGATGAACTCTGAGGTTAAAAGGTCAGAGTTCGTGTACAGTTTCATGGCTTACTGTATTGACTTTGTCCCAGTTACTCAGTTAACAGACAAACGGACACATGCCTAGATATAATTAGGACACAAAGGCACAGAGAAAGGTTTAGAAAAGGCATAATGAATCTTGTAGCATTTATATGTGGCAATACACGTTGCAACTATGTGGACACAGTGTGAAGAGATTGAACCTAAGCCCATGTTAAGTCAGGACTGAGGAAAGATTTAGTTCTTAATTGAGGATATAGTTTACAATAGAGAGTATGAGTGTTATAGAGACTGGATGCACTGAGCAAGGCTGAGTTCTGGAGATTTTGACATGGAGAAACCAAATTATTTTTGTTCAGAGTCTCCCCATCCAGCCAATTTTAGTGTCAGGCATCATTATTACAAATATTTCAAAACTATACTGAGTAAACCACCTCACATAAAAAGGGGGTTAGTAAACTCTGCCTTTTCCTCTAAAGCTTTTAGCGGAGGCACAGTCCCAGCCTCATATCCCAACGTGGAAGGAGAGCCCTCTTATTCCTGCAAGAAATTCCTAACTCAACACATATCCCTATTTCTCCCTTTCCAAAAGCTGCTAGCTGCTGGAGACAAGAAGAGAGCCACCTCTCTGTAGAATACTTTCATCCCTTCACTAAACAGCTGGGAAAACAGGCAGTGTGGACCTTGCCCTGTTTGGCCAAGCCTCCGGTTCCATCCATTCTGTAAGGGGCCTGCTGTGATAGCCTAGTGGCTAAATCCCTGCCTTGCACGTGCCGGGATCCCATATGGGTGGGTGTCAGTTTGTGTCCTGACTGTTCCACTTCCCATCCAGCTCCCTGCTTGAGGGCTGGAAAAGGAACAAAGGATGGCCCAAAGTCTTGGGACCCTGCATCTGTATAGGAAGCCCAGAAGCTTCTAGCTCCTGGCTTTGGACTGGCTCAGCTCTGGCCGCTGTGACCATTTGGGGAGTGAATAAGTGAACGGACGATCTTTCTGTCTCTCCTTCTTCCTGTAAATTTGCCTTTACAATAAAAATAAATCTTTATTTCTATTTTTTTAAAGATTTATTTATTTATTGGAAAGGCAGATATACAGAGAGGAGGAGAGACAGAGAGGAAGATCTTCCGTCTGATGATTCACTCCCCAGGTGAGCACATGGCCGATGCTGTGCCGATTCGAAGCCAGGAGCTTCTTCTGGGTCTCCCACATGGGTGCAGGGTCCCAAGGCTTTGGGCCGTCCTCGACTGCTTTCCCAGGCCACAAGCAGGGCGATGGATGGGAAGTGGAGCTGCCGGGATTAGAACCAGTGCCCACATGGGATCCCGGGGCGTTCAAGGCGAGGACTTAAGCCGCTAGGCCACACTGCCGGGCCCAAATTTTATTTTTTTTAAAAGAATCCAATTGTAGGTAACTCTGTAAGCTGGAGAGAAGTAAGCAAAAGTCCCAAACCTAAAGCTGAGAAATGTTTCTACACCTCAGCCAAGAAAAGGATGTTAAAGGTGACAGAAGGAGGAAAGTGAATAAAGGAAAGGCTGGCTGGTCTAGGCCAGCGAGCTCCATGGGGCTGTCTCAGGCCCCAGTTAGCTCATTGTCTATTTTAGTTGGTGAGAGAGAGTCCATCATTTCTTCTATCAATTCAAAGTCCATAGAATTCTCATTTTCGTTTAAAATTTATTTTAGGTAGAGTTATGTAGGAGAAGGGAGGCAGGGAGAGAGATCTTCCAGCCACTGGTTCATTCTTCAGATAGTTACAGTGGCAAGTGCTGGGTCAGGTGGAATTTATTCCATTCTAGGACGCTGTACAACTTTCCACAACTGTACAACAATTCTGGGTCTGTATTACTTTCTACAGTCTTTCAGCGTGGCCTAAAGCCAGATCTCATGGACTCCTCTGAGAGAGAGATGGACATGGGGTGAAGGGGAACTTAACTAAGCTTAACTGCAGGGAAGTTTTATTGGATTCCATAGGACAGTGTGAGAATAAAGGACCAAGAAAACCCAGCAGGCCAATTTATCAGCATGGTACTTTGATTTTCAGAGCGTGATTTTCCAGACTGGATCAGTTCTCCTGGTCTGATTCTCCACACACACACACAAAACTTGTTAAACCTTAATAGATGCTCTCCCAAGGTCATCACTGGTCATCACTGATAATGCTTTATCTTTTAACCTTTCATTTGGAAGTAATTTCAGACCTACCAAAAAGTTGCAAGAATAAGCACAGTATAAAGGACACGCACAGTATTCTTTGTATCAGAACTACCTACAGCTCATAAGCTCCATCATGTGTATGTTTTCCATTGTCTCTCCCTCTCTTGTTCAGACACATTCTTTTTCTGAGCTACCTGAGAGTAAACTCATATTTCATAGCTCTTTATCCCCAGGCACTTCAGTGTTTCTAAGAATCATGGATATGATTTTGAATAATGACATTACAATTTTCAATGGCAGTTTGATATTAATATTATGTATATTTCAATTTTATAAATCAACCCACATGATGCTCTTTGCAGCCTGTTTGTTATTGTGTCACTATCCGATGCAGTTTAGGATTAGGTATTACATTTAGTTGTCTTGTTTATTTAGTCTCCTTTACTAGGAATTTTTTCCACAGCCTTTCTTTTTCTTATGTGACATTGATATTATTGAACATCTCAGATGGTCTGCCTTTCCCCCCTCCCACAATTTGGTTTTCTCTGACTTTTTTCTTGCTTGCTTTCTATAAATAAATACTTCATTTATTTATTTGAAAGGTACAGTTACAGAGAGCGAGAGAAGGAGAAACTAAGAAAAAGATCTTCCATCTACTGGTTCACTCCCCAAAGGGCCACAAAAGCTGGAGGTCTGCCAGGCCAAAGCCAGGAGCATGGTTTTCTGGGTGTTCCAAGGTTATAGGAGCCCAAGAACATGGGCCTCTTCTTCTGCTTTTCCAGGTGCACCAGTAAGGTGCTCAATTGGAAGTGCAGCAGCTGGGACTCAAATCTGTGACTATATGGGGATGCCAGCACTACAGTCAGCAGCTTAATCCACTGAGCAACTCCTGTCTGAAGAGTTCTTATATGGTTTAAGACATGCATGCACTCCTAAAAAAAAAAACACTATGCTATCCAATCTAGAGACACACAATATTTATTTATCCCTCGCTGGTGAAATCAATTTTGAATACCTGGTTGGGTTTTCTGATTTCCTGTGGCTTAGTTACTATATCTTCCTTTGTAACCATTAAGCCACTGGAGAGCAAATATATTGTTCTTGGTGAAATCTCTTCCTCTTATGTTTCACATCCACATATATTTTCCCATTTAAAAATTATTTATTTACTTATTTGAAAGGAATAGTGTGGGAGGGAGACAGAAAAATCTCCTACCTAGTTTACTCCTGAAATGGTCACAAGCCAGAAGTCTGGAACACCATTTGGGTTTCCCATGTGGATGATGGGAGCCCAAGTACTTGGCCTATCTTGCTTGCACTGAGTTCTCAGGCATCATTAGCAAGGAGCTGGATAGACACGGGGCAGCCAGGAATCAAACCAGCACTCCAATATGGGATACTGGAGTTGCAGCTGGTAGCTTAACCAATGGGGATGCTTGTTTCATCCTACTTTTGTTAGGATGGTTGCCAACTGATAACATTTTAACATCATCTCTTCCTCCAGTTATCAGTTATTATACAGTCTACTGTAGGTAAATACTCTTCCTTTTTCTGCAATTAATATATCTGTCAATTTGTTATTGTCATGATTTCATGGGTTTCCATTTGTCAGTGGCTTATACTTATCACTAGGCTTACTATTTTGGCACTTGAGTTGTTCCACTCAGAAGTGAGAACCCCTTCAGGCTGGAACTGTGTCCTTGTAACCTATCACCATCAATTTTTTGAGCACTACCTACTTTCTGGTATAATACGGTATCGGGAACTTGACTTGTAGCTACTCTGCCCCAACTCTTCAGAAGTTTCTTTCACTAGGAAAGTTCCTGGAGATGAAGATTTGAGGGTGATGTGTGCTCACTGCTGCTGGGGCATTACATTGACAGCTACGGGAAGTCTTTAGTGGGCTGAGCCCTTTTGGCACATGAAGCTGGGAATAACTTTCGAATCATATGTACATGCATATTTCTGACATCACGAATCCACACCAGTGCCCACAATTCTAATTCATTCTCACAGGGTTCTTTTTTGCCTTCCCCAGTGAGAACCTTGGCTCTCAACATTATAATCAAATTGCTGAACCCTATAATATATTTAAAATGGTCTCAAAATTGTCTGTATATATCACTAAAAAACAAAAGGCAAGGTTACTAAAAAAAAGAGTTAAGGATTTGTTTGTAATTCTCCCTCTCAACCAGACTGTTTAGAAATACTGTGTTGACAAGTCACTTGGATTCATTATTTTTTCCACTTCAATGTAGTTGTGTAGTTATTCAGCTAAATGCAATTGGTTTCTGCACCCTGCCCCTGACATTTGCCCTTAGTCTTAAGCTTTTTTCTCCCATCTTCATTAATTTAATTTTTTAAAAATAGGACATTAATATGGTTGTAAAAGTTAAAACAGTACAAAAAGATTAACCGGAGGAGAATCAAGATGG